CAACTGACTCACACACAATGCAAAAGCAGCTGGACTTCATACAAAATGGCCCCTGCAACAAGCAGGAACCTCACAGAGAGCTCAAAAACCAACTATCACACTTTACACAAAAATACCGGTTAGGGCAGTAGGTAGTTAAAAAATGCTTTAAAAAGTAGGGAAAAAAAAGTTCTGACGACCGTGTGGCACAGCTAATTGTCGGAACTTTTTTTACTTTTTAAAGCCTTTTTTTACTATCTACTGCCCGAACTGATAGTAAAAAAATGCTTTAAAATTTTTTTTAAAAAAGTTCAGACGATCAGCTGTGCCACACGATCATCAGAACTTTTTTTTTTTTTTTTTTACTTTTTAAAGCATTTTTTTACTACCGATTCGGGCGAACCAGTAGCATTTCACCCCTGGGTTCAAGCAATTTAAGAATTATTGCTTGCGAATTCATAATATCCTGAGTATGTAACACTAAACTATAATGCAATCAGCCAAAGATCACTGCATTGTAGAACCTACAGAATGCCAAGAACTGCAAGGGATAAAACAGTGATTGTTATGCAATCCAATTAAACCAACTTAAACCGCTACTGGAATGTTATTGTATGAAATCATATTTGTTCATCATAAATATTGTTTAGCCTGCAATAAATCCTGGTAACAGCCTCTGAAACACTTCTCAGATTGAAGGGTAATAAAATAACTTCTTATCTTATGAACTCTTCCCAAAATAAATAATATTTTTAAGCTTAACTCTTTGTACGTGGTCGATTCCACAGCCATGGCTCATTGGCAACTTGCAGAGAAAATACTAGGCGACGGCCATCAACAACAAAGCGTAAAGAAAAATAAATGTAAAAATAATGAAATATTTCTTGCATTATTTTCTCCTATTTTGGAAGGGTGTCATTAACTAAAACATGCCCCTGCTGGCATATTTGCCTAGGAAATTCTGGATTCTGTATTTTGCAAATTCTCAGACAGCAGATTAAATTTCATATTCCTCCCCTCTGTTGAAGAGCTGGGAGTGTGATGCCACCAGCATGGCATGGTCGGATGCCAGTTAAAAGGTATACAACTGCAGAGTCCAATTTCCTCATGCAGTTGAAAACTCTTGCAAGAGAATTAGGGTCAACTATAAAATCAAGAGATTTTAAAAAAACAAAAACAAAAAGACAGCCTGTTAAAAGAATTATTGTAATTTACATTACCTCTTCTTAAAAGAGTCTATTGTCTTAACAAACGAATGAAATTTTGAATTATAAGAATTTGTTTCAATCCCTATCTTCATTCAGTTAGGAGCCTGGATAGCTCTGCAGACTAAGCACTGTAATTTAACACCAGCTGTCTGCAATTAAAGCAAGTTTGAATCTCCCCAGGCTCAAGGTTGACTCAGCCTTCCATCCTTTCTAAGGTAGGTAAATTGAGGACCCAGTTTGTGGGGGCAATAAGCTGACTTTGTATAAAATATACAAAAGTATGAAGGCTATTGCTTAATGCACTGTAAGCCGCCCTGAGTCTCCGGAGAAGGGTGGCATATAAATCAAATTAAAAAAAAAAAAAAATCTACACAATTGCAGTGCTTCCCGTATCTCCTTTTGAACAATCCTATAGGATTCTGGTTTCAATCTTGAGGAATTTCAGTCCTCTGAAATGCTTTTTTTTAAAAAATAACTCGGTGGTTTCCAGTTCTTTTTTCAAACTATTTCCAGAGCCGTGGTGGCGCAGTGGTTACAATACAATATTGCAGGTTACTTCTGCTGACTGCCGGTTGCCTGAAATTTGGCAGTTCGAATCTCACCAGGCTCAAGGTTGACTCAGCCTTCCTTCCTTCGGAGGTGGGTAAAATGAGGACCCAGATTGTTGGGGGCAATAGGCTGACTCTAAACGGCTTAGAGGGGCCTGTAAAGCACAGTGAAGCAGAATATAAGTCTAAGTGCTACTGCTATTACTACTCAAAGCACAATATACCCCAAAGAAGCACTTCAAGTAAACAGAATCAGTTTGTTGTAGTGGTAAAGGTACTAACCTAGAATCAGGACAGTGTGAATTCTAGTCTTTTCTTAAGCATGAAACCTGATTGGGTGACTTTGGGCTAGTCACTCTCTCTCAGTCCAATGCATTTCATAGGGTTATTGTGGGGAAAATAGGAATATTATTAAACAGGTAAGCCTTTTTTTCCCACCTTGTCCAAAATTATATTTGAAAAGGCAGGATTAAAAATATAATAAGAGTCACATTTTTCAAGGCTGCAGATAAAGTAATGGCTCAAGTTTTAAATTCTCTTAAAAGAATGTCCATCCCGCTCCCCTCCTGAGTAGGAGAGGAAAAGAGGAATTAAATTAGAAACAAACACTGTACTTGGTACAAGGTCATCTTGACATGAAACCAAAAAGCTCAATGCACATATAATAAGGCTGACAGATCAGGCTTAGTTGGACAGTATTTCCACAGAATTGTGAGCAAAGCTGGGATGGTTTTGGCCCCGAGGTCAGCTGTAAAGTCTCCCTTGAGCAAGAGCAAGAAAGCAGCTCTTTGCCAGAGAGGAAAACGCCACTCGATAACAAAATCAGAAGTTTACTGGGTGAGATGTAGTAGATGTGACATCCTGAATCATGCTAGGCTTCAACAGGTTGCCCAGAATTATTCCTTCCTTCTCTCTCATCTATCTTGTGAGGCTCTTTCAGGCATAAAAAACAAGGGAGAAACCCCTAACCAGTGGTGGGATTCAACAGGTTTAACAACCGGATTGCTGAGCACGCGCTTCACACACACATGCTTGCTTCGCTCGCACGAGCACCAAACACACACTCCGCACACTCACACATTGCATTTGAAAACAAATGTCAGCACTTCAAGCTGCATTTACTCTAGTGCTGACATAAGAAGGAGAAGCGGAGGCGTCTGGAAAGGGACGTTTGACTTTTCACCTACTTATTTTCCCTGAAGATAATATCCCCTAGGAGATGGGATGGGAGGGGGGAAATTCCTTTGAGCTGGAGCAGTAGATTAGGGGTAGAGTGACTTGGAAGATGGCCAATGAGTGCAGGGGAGTGGGGAACGGAAAGGGAGGGTTTTGGGTCTGGAAGTCAGTGTTGGCTGCGATGGAGTCGGAGTTAGAATGTCGTGCTTAATAAATGGGAGTTTTTCTTCAAAAACTTTGTTTGAAATGCAATTTATTTGAGACGACCTCGAAACCTGACAACAGCTCTAAAACTGACCTTCTACTGCAGCTCCAGTGAGTAAAACAGCTGAGACACGGCGATCTGTTCTGCTGTGCGTATCAGCTGGGTTTTAAACAAAGGAAATACAGGTCAGTATAGCGCAGGGATGGGTGGGCGAGCCCAGCTGATCATTGGAGTGAGCGGGTTCTCTCTCAGCTAATCATCAGAGCTACTGGTTCACCCAAACCAGTCCGAACCAGCTGAATCCCACCCCTGCCCCTAACACCCCAACAGATGGTGGCAGGAACTGCCAATCAAATCCAGAATGATTACCTACATTAAAATTGCTTTATTTCAATATTGTGAAGCACTGCGATACACTCCCTGCAGCAGTGCCTTTATGGCAACAGCACTCATCTTGTGAAATACTCCTGCCAATTAAAATTTGTTAAGCCCCTTATACTCAGTTGCCACCTTTCTCAACCTGATATGGTCAGGAAGAACCAAAGAATATTTCTTCTCTTCCTTAGGCGACATGGTCGACCATGCTATTTGGGGTTTATGGAAATTATGACAGATTTTGCTCTGTTGTACAGATCCCTGAGTATCTTGCCTTCGGCTCCTAGTAGCAAAGTGGGATATAAATGTAATGCATTGACATTACTTGAAGGAAAGATAAAATCCACGATTAATGCAAAAATAAATTTAAAAAAATAACTCTGTCAATACCGCACTGTAAAGAGACTTTACACTTAAAAAATATTAAGATTAGTGTGAGTTGGCCTTTGTGACCTAACTAGAGGGAATGGTGGAGGAAAAGCACCCCACTCTGCGATACACATTCTCACATTTTGCTGGTGTCTGGTGATTGTTGAGACAATGTTCACGTTTCACTTCATATTGGAAATTAAAAACTGCCATCTTAAACATGCATAATTTACTGCTTCTATAGGAGATTTTAGTGCTGAAATAGTTTCATATGCAGCTGCATTCATGAAGGTATCAACAAAGTCAAGATGGCCATTGAGATCATGTGATTGATATTGCCATCATTGGTTGGTGGCCCAAAGCTTGTTAAAGTGTTGGATTAAGATGAAGAGACCCAAATTCAGGTCCAGCTGAATCATCATTGGGTAACTGTCTCAGCCTATACCCTACAGGGTGGTGTTGTGGAAATAAAACATTGATGATCCCTGTGTAAGCCATCTTCAATTCCTTAAGGAAAGGCAGAGTATGAAAGAAATCAATAAGGAGGATCAATCACAGAATTCCTATGTTACAGTAATCTATGAATTGCTTGTTGAATTAGCCATTTTTGGCTGGCTTCACAAAACATGTTAAGCTAGGAACTATGGCTAAGTTCAACAATGTTCTAAATCAGGGGTGTCAAACTCGCTGCCCACGGGCCAGATGCGTCACGTGCTGGCCATGCCCACCCCCAGCTTAGCAAATGGGAAAAAAGTTGTGATACGTCACGTGACGACAACGTGGTGCCGCGAGTTTGACACTCCTGTACTAAATGGTTAAAATAAATCTGAACAACTCACAATATGGCTTAGTGCAATGTGTGAAGTTAGTAAAATTGGCTCCACCAAAATCAATGCGCTTTCAGAGAAAAAGCTTTTAAGGCAGGATAATTCCGACATTGTGATCTTTGTTTTGGAGATTTGAAATGAAGAACAAAGTCAGAAATTCACTTTGCCCATGTTGACCTGTGGTGTGATCATTGATTCCAGGCAATAAATGTAATGTGCGCACATTACAAATACAATAGAAACAAGAATCCCATTTTGCAAATGTCCTTTTCTTGGGTGTTGAAAAGTAAGACAAATGGAAAAGTAAAGGGAATATATTCCGAGCTTAGAAGATGATTTCTATTTTAATTTTACCATGTTCTGGCATATTTATATACATATACACATATAACCACACACAGAGAGACAGAAACGTAATAAAAGCTGAAGTTTTACTCCATTATAGCAATTTAAAAAGGAATAATATGAAGGGAAAATGTACAAGGTGACTTTCTGTTCTTTTTTTTAAAAAAAAAAACTTATCTCAAATGAATATCTGAGCAGAAATTTAATCAGGCCTATTATAAAACACTTCTCATGACAAGTATTGGTCATTCCTTAGGCCCAAACTACTTGCAAAGGAATTTAAAAAGTTCATGATATGTGAAACAGGCTCAGCGAGTAAAGGTTTGCAAACGAAGTACACTGGCTTTAGATTTGGCCAGACACCAGAGGTCCATGAAATCAGTGTCAATTACTGTTCCATGTTTGACATCTCTCTGCTTCAATGTGTCTCCTCTAAGTATGACTTAATCCAGGTCTAATCCATAAAATGTAGGCATACAAAATGACACTGGGGATATGCCAACATTGCTAAATCTCATCCACCCAAAATATTTTCCAACAATTTTTTAAAAATACACAATTTCTGTATGTTATCTCTACAAATGATGAAAAAGAGAGAGAGAGAGAGAGAGACCAAAGATAGGGGGTGGGGGGGCGAGGGTTTGTGGATAGACAGATGGAGAGGCAGGTCACTTTTTGTGAAAGAGAAGCGGTTTCACCATTCCGGCCAGTATCTTTGGAAGCTGGGCAGCTATCACTTCTGACATCATCTCCGGGAATTCAACACTCAGCGTCCGGGACTGAAGAAATGTGTTGAGACAGTATAAGTGAAGTTGCTTCACAAGCTATATTAAAATAAGAGGGAGAGGAGGGCAGAGGGAAGAGATGGAAATTGCATCACATCGGGTCAAATGGTCCCTGAGTCAAATGGTCAAATAGTCCTTTAACCCTACATTATTTTTTTGGCATATACACCGGGTAAACATGATTCCGAGCCAAAATGGGATTGCTTGCTGCAGATTAATGCCATCAGAGGTGGGTTTCAGCAGGTTCTGACCAGTTTTGGAAAACCGGTAGCGGAAATTTTGAGTAGTTCGGAGAACCGGTAGTAAAAATTCTGACTGGCCCCGCCCCCATCTATTCTCTGCCTCCCGAGTCCCAGCTGATTGGGAGGAAATGGGGATTTTGCAGTAACCTTCCCCTGGAGTGGGATGGGAATGGAGATTTTACAGTATCCTTCCCCTGCCATGCCCATCAAGCCATGCCACGCCCACCAAGCCACACCCACAGAACCAGTAGTAAAAAAAATTTGAAGCCCACCACTGAATGCCATGCTTATGATCTGTAAACTATGGTTTATTTTTATTTATTTTTTTAGCAAAGGATGACTTAGTGGGGTTGTGTGAAGATAGCTGGGTGTGATCTGAAAGAATTGCATGGCACTTTCCCATATTGTTAATCATTGATTGGCGAGTGGCAGTTTCGTAACAAAAATGTGTTAGATCTGACTCTACCAGTCCAAACTGACCACTGGGTAATTATATAATAAAACCATTTGTTCAATATGTGTTTTATCAATCTGAAGTTGTAATGGCTTCTTACAAACCCTACAGTCATTTATCCTAGCTATTCAGCTTTAAATCTCAGTTATCTGCTATCTAACCAAAGTAGTGGTGGGTTGCCCCTGGTTCGGACCGGTTTGCAAGAACCGGTAGTAAAAACGGCGGGAGGCTCCGCCCACCGACCCCGACATCATCAGGAAGCTTCTGCGCATGCACGCAGCCCCGTTGTGAACCGGTAGTAAAAGTAAGTAGAACCTACCCATGGACCCAAGGTTGATGAAAATGGAAGCTTATAATACTGAATTAACCAGTGGTGAAATGTAAAATTTGTTACTACCGGTTCTGTGGACGTGGCTTGGTGGGGGGTAATGTGATTGGGTGGGCGTGGCCAACTTTTTTTTTTTTTACTTTTAAAAGCATTTTTTCTACACCTCTTCAGCTGAAGAGGTTGTAGAAAAAATGCTTTTAAAAGCCTCTGACGATCCCAGCTGAGTTGCCTGATCGTTAAAAGCCTCTGACAATCAGGCAACTCAGCTGGGATCGTCAGAGGCTTTTAAAAGCATTTTTTTCTATAACCTCTTTGGCCGAAGAGGTTGTAGAAAAAAATGCTTTTAAAAGCCTCTGACGATCCCAGCTGAGCCGCGCAATCATCAGAGGCTTTTTTTTACTTTTAAAAGCATTTTTTCGGCCGAAGTTGTAGAAAAAAATGCTTTTAAAAGTTAAAAAAAAAAAGCCTCTGATGATCGCGCAGCTCAGCTGGGCATGCGGGGTGGGGGGACACAGGGATTTTTGCTACCGGTTCTCTGAACCACCCACCGCCATCGCTACTGGATCAGGCGATCCGGTCCGAACCGGGAGCATTTCACCCCTGGAATCAACCCACCACAGCATATTTTAGGGAAGCATTTCTTAAACTTGGTAGCTTTGCGTGGACTTCAATTCCCAGGTGGCTGGAGAATTCAGGGATTTGAAGTCCACACATCTTAAAGTTGCCAAGGTTGAGAAAATACTGACTTAGGGATTTGTGTGAACTAAACCCATATGGTCATTTTCTGAGTCAGTGTGCCATATGAATCCAGAAAACCTCCCAAAAGTTATAGTTGAATTACATGGGAATGCAAGCAGAACCCACCACTTTGGTTTACTGAAATCTTATTTATTTATTTGTTTGCTCATTTGTTTGTCAACAACTATAAGGAAACAAGTAACAGTATAGCACAGACATGGACATATGACAAAAAAATTTGGCACAAATAAAAGGATATAACTAGGCAAAACATAGCCATAAACACATAGAATGATTACATATAAATGGGGACAGTAGGACAGGGACGGAAGGCACGCTGGTGCGCTTATGCACGCCCCCTTAGGGAAACATGAAAGGTCCATGGTAGACAGTTTAAGGTAAAAGGTATGGGGGTTAGAGAGACTAACAACAGGATCAGGTAGAGTGTTCCAGACATTTACTACTCTACTGCAGAAGTCATATTTCCTACAATCAAGATTAGAGCGATTTACGTTGAGTTTGAATCTATTGATAGTCCTTGTGTTATTACGGTTGAAATTAAAGTACTCATTTACAGGTAGGACGTTTTGGTAAATAATCTTATGAACTAAGCATAGGTCAGAATGTAGACAGCGTAGTTCGAGGCTATCCAGATCTAAAATTTCAAGCCTGGTGGGATAGGGAATTTTATTTCGAGCAGACGTTTTGAGTACTCTCCTAGTAAAATATTATAGTATACAACTCCATTTGGAGCAAGAACAATGTATGAATACAATATTATTCATCCTAACACTTATTTTTTGGCAAAGGGGAGATCAGGGGAAGTCAAAGGCCATACTGGTCTGTGACTTACATGCCAGAGGGCATGCTCGCTCCAGAAATGGAAGGAGGCCAGAACAAAAGCTAAATATTCTTCTTTGTTAATTCCATTTAACATTAATTAATGCCATGCAATTAAGTCCAGCTAAAATGATTACAAGCTGCCTAGCTTGAGTGATCAGGGGGGAAAAAAAGTCTAATTAATCCTTGGATGACAGTCTACCAGGAATTCTCAGAGCTGTGGGCTAAATTGAGAAGTTGAATGTACACTCTCAAAAGAATGCCATTGTGAATCACTTTTGCATTGCTGCTAGGAAAATTTGCATGAGGTATCCAGGTAATTACCAGATGTTGAGTTTAACTCAAGGGATTCTTTACCTTTAAAAAAAAAACCAGTTTAAAAAAAAAGGAACTACAGTTAGTTTGGTTACTTTGCATATGTTGAAGAATTCCCTAATTCGGTCACATTAAACATTGCAATCTGAAGATAATCGTGGGAATGAGCCACATCCAAGGCATTTGTGGTTTTGTGTCTGGTCTCGGGTTGTATGATCTTCTCCATAACAAGAGTTTTCAACTTCCGGAATTGCAACATGCTGGCTGGGAACTTCTGCAAGTTGGGAGTCCACCCATTTTATAGTTGCTAAGGCCGAGAAATGGTGCACTATAGCAAAAATATACCGTCTTGCAGCTTCTCTTAGAAGAACAGCTGCGATTGTGAGGTCCTTGGCAAAAGTTCATTTTGTGCACCAATTACATCTATTCCAGGACCAGGGTGTCCTGTTCATAGTTACTCACACCTTACCTATCTCCAGATAGCATTATTGCAATGTGCACTACATGGGGCTGCCCTTGAAGAGTATCCAAAAGCTTCAATTGCTTGAGGCTTCTAGGGGTGGTATGGTGAACTAAAGATGGCTCTGTGAAAGGAGAACTGATGACTGCTTAGACCAATGATGGCTAACCTTTTTGCTGTTGCGTGCCAAAAATGGGGGGGAGCACAGGGGGTCATGAGCACGCATGCCCACACCCATAATTCAATGCGCCCCATCCCCCCATGCATGCACGCTCGACACACACACACCCCCGTGCTCCCACCATTTTTGGCACGTAATGGCCTGGTAGGCCCATTTTTTACCCTCCCCAGGCTCCAGAGGCTTTCTTGAAGCCTAGGGAGGGCAAAAATGGCCTTCCTCACCCCCCCAGAGGCCCTCCGGAAGCTGGAAACAGCCTGTTTGCCAACTTCCAGTAGAGTGGGGAAGGCTGTTTCCAGCCTCTGGAAGGCCTCTGTGGGGGGGTGGGGTAAGGCTGTTTTTGGCATCTCCAGACTCCAGGCTCCTAGAAAGCCTCTGGAATCTGAGGAGAGCAAAAAATGGGCCTTCCGGTCCCACTGGAAGTCAGCAGTCAGCAAACGGGCCATTTCTGGCCTCCGGAGGGCCTCCAAGGGGGTGGGGAAGGCTGTTTTTGCCCACCCCAGAATCCTAGAAAATCTCTGGAGCCTGGGGAGAGCAAAAAACGGGCCTTCCCCATCCACCCCCAGAGGCCCTCCGGAGGCTGGAAACAGCCTGTTTCCTGACTTTCAATGGGCCCGGAAGGCCCGAAAATCAGATGGCTCATGTGCCCACTGATATGGCTCCGCGTGCCACCTGTGGCATGTGTGCTATAGGTTCACCATCACGGGCTCAGACCAAGGAACCAGTGAATAAAGAGCTTCCTTGAAATCTCTCTGGATAAAAAGAGAATGTGATATTGCCCACATGTACTCCAGACAGCTGCTCCTTGCAGGAGACTACAGGACAGTGGTTTTCTGTGAGTTCGAGCACTAGGAGATTATAGAAGCAACAATCTTGCTTGCAACTGTGGCAGAGACTTTTAAAGGACACTAAGTTCCCAAATCTCACTTTCTAATCACTTTTGGAAATTGCTTATTAGCTAATTAAAAGCTACTAAAGACCTTTGGTTTGAAATTTTGAAAATGCTGGGTGAATCTGCTTTCAGAATCTGCTGAACGAAAGAAATTTTTAAACTTAAGTATTTAAAGCATTTGAAATAAAGAGCAAAAAGCTAAATAAATTTTGATCTTAGAAAGTTATAAAAGAATAAAGGGTCTGGGTAAAAATGGAACATCGAAACTTTTACAATGAGATTTTGGAATTAGTTATAAAGAACAACCACTTTCTTGTGGGAAATAGATCCTGTTTCGATTTTTACAAAAAGTAACAGAAATAAGCAAATGCATTACTTTTGAAAAATGGACACTAGAGGGGACTAAAATTTACAGCAAAGAAACCATTTATAAGCCTGTAAAATGTTGCAAAATATAACAGTAAAAATACTGAAGAAAAATTTCAAAGAAGGGGATCAGAAAATAGTCACGATACCAGCAATGTTGGTAGTGAAGTCTGCTTCTATGGATAGACTATGTTCAAAAGATGCTCTTAAAGAAATGGCAGATGTAGAACAAATTTTATCTGACACGATGGAAATAGGATTGAAAATAGATTTACAATTGACAGGCCAAGAGAATAATTTAGAAAAGGGATGCTGAAATTTAATTGTGGATGATTACAATGAAATATTATTATTGTGCTGATGTGGAATTTTTTTATATGTGTACACCTTTGTGAATGTATGCCCTGCACAGTTTTGTTTCTTTTTCTAGTATTTTCTGTATTCTTATTTTTATTTTCTTTGTAACTCCAAGCATTGTTTCCCTTTTTTACTTTTTGTTGTTGATGTTTTTCCCCAATTGATAAAAACAAGACAAAAATTAAATAGAGGGAAGAGATTCACTTGCATCTCCTCTCTTTAGAGCAGGGGTATCAAACTCAAGGCCCATGGGCCAGATGTGGTCAGATCCAGCCCGTGGGGCCATCCTGGTGCGAAGAGGAAAGATCAGGACAGCGTAGCTTCGGCCCGGTCTACCCAACGCGAAGAGGAAACATGCCAGCAGTTTGGGGAGTGGCGTCAAGTTGGCCACGCCCACACAGTCGGCCACATCCCCCAGCTGCCCCACGGTCAACCACAGCCCTGATGCGACCCTCAATGAAATTGAGTTTGATACCCCTGCTCTAGAGTATCAGATCATCTGGCACAAAACAAGAGTAATATCACAGCTCCCAAGATAGTACAAAATTATATTACATCATTATAATAATACATAATTTTAAAAGAAAACTTACATCATGCATGGAATCCATAAGCTTTGTGAGCTGGTAGAAACGTTGAGAACTGGCTACAACCCCTTTCTGTCGCAGCCCAATTGCTTTGACCAACTCTCTGATATAACTGGATCTCATATCATCAAACTGATTTTGGCTTCTGAGTCCTTCCAAAGGAACTGTATTTTGGGGTGGGGGGAGAGAAAAGAATATTTTATCTCTGAGGCTCAAATTTCAAACAATAGAAATATACTGTTCAGTATATTCAGATTCAACCATTTTGAAACCTGTATTCTTCATAAGCCAAGTTTTGAGACTGTAATGCTCGAATCAATCTCCTGTACTGATTCTTAGTAGTCACAAATAGTAGAGACAATCCTTTTATTGCTATTATATTTTTACCACAGTTAAGGTCACAATTAAGGTGTGCGAATGAGAAGATGAATGAACGACAGTGTAAACTCGCGAAGCTTTCTTGATCTGCTCCCGAGTTGCCATAGGCAGAGGGGTGGGAAATTGCTCCTCACAGCTGCACCAAGGAATTCGCAGTCAAAACAAAACACATCCTAGTCGGCTGAAGTTAAGGCCATCTCCACGGAGAGGGAGTGACTTCTATGACCCGCAAAATTGCTTCATTGGGGAATGTGACTGGTGACACACCTTGGGGGGAGGGAAAACAGGGTCAGAGGCAAGGCACGAACTGGGTGAAGTCAGAGCTGACTTCACTCAGGTTGTGCCAACATGGCGCTTCTTATAAACAAATGGATTTTTCTTGCAAAATGGCTTGTGGCTCCTGATTTTATTAGGGCATTGGTCGGAACCCTGAAACCAGGAAGTAATGACACCTAGGCGGGTGGGCGGAGCTTTGCTCTGCCATCGCTACCAGATTGCCGAACCAACGGCCAAGATCGCTACCGGACCGGGTGATCCGGTCTGATCCGGGAGCATTTCACCCCTGGTTTAATCCATGTGGAAATCTCAAAAAGCCCATCCCAGCAATAGAGGGTTAGGGGGAAATAGACCACACAGCACCTCTTTGTATTTTTTGATAGATTTACACTTTAAAAAAAAATCTTCTTGAAACCCTTTGCTTTGGGTAGATCATAAGACTGCAGATGCATGCATGGATCCATCCATCCTTCCAATTCATCTGCCGACCCTCTGCTTTTGGCCGAGATATTTTTCAGACAGAAAGCTCAGCCAAGGTCCATATTTCTGCTGCCCTGGGACGCTTGCCTTGACTTTGTTTTGCTGGGTTAACTCTGGCAGACTACTTTCCTTTCTTCACATTTGCTCAAGTCCTAATAAAGACAGGATAATCCTAGAGAGAGATGAGCTGATCAACAGATGCTTTTGCACGCAGCAGGCCAACTCCACAACAGGATGCTGTAATGTTATTGAAAACCCTTCCTTCTTTTCATCCAGGCACCTGGTTCAGTGTAACTGAGTACAATTTAACAACAATTTGCACAAAGAAGAAGGTGGGGAGGGGGCAAAGGCAGATGTGGCTTACTTGTATTCAGGAGGAGAAGGGCTTTCATGCAAAGGAACTCTTCACAGCTTACTTGTAGCTTGACGAACTCTTGCGGAATTTGCCACATGGACAGGCACAGGGAATAGAACGATGATTCTTTCATCCTCTGTCTTACGCACCACCCAGAAAAGAAAAGCCAAAGCTAAAAAATTAAGTCTGTGGGGATCTTGAAGGTCCTCACTTTGCAATATAGCTCAACTTGGAATACAATTCTTATAGCAAGCCAGAATCAAGATTCAGTGACAAGAAGGCTGAGCTGGGAAGATTGTCTTAAACCAGGGGTCAGCAACCCATGGCTCTGAAGCCGTATGTGGCTCATTCATCCCTTTGCTGTGGCTCCTTGTTGCCGGTTGGCTCCACAATTGATAGAGCTTTCGGTTAGGACAGATAGAGGAAAAAGGACGCCGTGCTAGGAGGAGACTCTATGGTGGGGGAACCGGACTTCCAGTCAACAGAGAAAAAAGGATGCTGTGCTAGGAGAAGACTCTATGGTGGGGGAACTGGACTTCCAGTCAGCTCCAGAATTGAATGGGGGGGCTTCCGGTTAAACTCAAGCAGGTTTCCTCAGCAGAATCTCTACTGGTCTGAGATAGTCAATGATCAATGCACTACACATAAGCTGCTAATAGGGCCATTACACAATTAATATGATAACGCATCAAAATCAAAGTCACTTCCAAAACCTTCATAGCCATGCACTTACATCCCAGTCCACTGATTTAAAACTGCTTTTTGCTAATGAAACAGGTAAAACATTGATCAAATTACCACCTCAACAAATGAAAACTCTGCTTTATTTGTCTCAATAATTCCTTGTCTTGATAATAGTTCCCTAATTCCTAACACACTCTTAATATTACTCTGGAGACTGAATTACTTTAATGACAATGCTGTGCTGCGAAATCATTTCAGATACTTAGAGCTACAACTTGGGAGAAAGAATATATAAAGAAAGAAAGCAAGAATTTTTTTTTAACATTAATAATGATTTGGGTTGTTTTTATTGGAATACCATCATTTATCTTTTATTTTAAACTGTTGACCCCCATTTAAAGCTTTATAAATACAAAAACAAGCTATTAATTGGGGAAAAAAATGATCACGTACAACACCATGAATCATACTTACTCATTTAATATTAGATCAGGAGCAAAGTACAACATTTGACCACTGACATGCTTATATGATCTCCATCCCATTGCAAAGACCATTAGACTCATCCATGAATACTGGATAAGAGTTATCTGGTCATCAATATGTAAGTTCCGGAATCCTAGAAAGGAAAAAAAAAGGAAGAGGGATGCTAAATATGTAATTAGATTTTGTCGCATTTTTGGTTTACTGTCATGTATGACGAGAAGGCTCCCCTCACTTAGCTTAGACTAGGCTGGTGTTTCAGTATTGGCAACTTTAAGATGTGTGGACTTCAACTCCCAGAATTCCCTAGCCAGGATCCTGGAGGAGTTGAAGTCTTCTGTTTGTTGAAGTCTACATACCTTAAAATGGCCAAAGCTGTATTGTTACCACAGAAGAAGTTACACATACTTGGGGAAATAAGAGGACCAAACTATAATCTCCTTTTTCTCCTGGATGAGACTTCATACAGAAACAGCAATTAGGGTGTAGCTGAGAGTGACATTAAATCAGGGATGAAATGCTCCCGGTTCAGACCAGATCGCCCAATCTGGTAACGATGGCGGCGGGTGATTTGGAGAACCGGTAGCAAAAATCCCTGCTGCCCCCCATGCCCAGCTGAGCCGCATGATCATCAGAGGCTTTTTTTTTTAACCTTTAAAAGCATTTTTCTTCAGCCGAAAAAATGCTTTTAAAAGTAAAAAAAAGTCTCTGATGATCGTGCGGCTCAGCTGGGATCGTCAGAGCCTTTTAAAAGCATTTTTTCTCGGCTGAAGAGGTTGTAAAAAAATGCTTTTAAAAGGCTCTCATGATCCCAGCTGAGTTGCCTGATCGTCAGAGCCTTATCGGTAGAAAAAATGCTTTTTAAAAAAATTTGATTTATATGCTGCCCTTCTCCGGAGACTCAGGGAGGCTTACAATGTGCTCAGCAATAGCCTTCATCCTATTGTATATTTATACAAAGTCATCTTATTGCCCCCACAACTGGGTCCTCAATTTACCTACCTTAGAAAGGATGGAAGGCTGAGTCAACCTTCAGCCTTGGCGAGATTCGAACCTGCAGTAATTGCAGGCAGCTGGTCTTAATAACTAGCTTAATAACAGGGTGCCTTAGACCACTGTACTACCAAGGCTCTTTTAAAAGAAAACAAAAGCCTCTGACAATCAGACAACTCAGCTGGGATTGTCAGAACCTTTTAAAAGCATTTTTTTTTTTACAACCTCTTCGGCCGAAGAGATTGTAGAAAAAAATGCTTTTTAAAGTAAAAAAAAAAAAAGTTGGCTACGCCCACCCAGTCACATTACCCCACCACCAAGCCACGCCCACAGAACCGGTAGTAACAAATTTTACATTTCACCACTGCATTAAATCCAGGAAAATCCAGGAATCAACAGGAAACAATCAAGTTATATTGTATAAATAAAAATGGTATCTTTTAATCGCCCCAACTCTTACATAAGATGTCTCCTCTAGTCATTCAGATTCATATTTAATGCTTGCAAAGATGAAATGGCAAACAAGTTTCTACTACAGTTAGCAATGACATTTCTGATATTCAATATGTGACTTAACTATTTTGGCAAAATTTTAAGCAGGTAGCAGAATCATTTGTCAAGACAAATTTAATCCTTCAATTCTTTACTTATTCACAGCAGCAATCAAGAAAAGAAACCAAGGTGAAGGCAAATAGGGTTAAGATATGATATTTTCCCATCATTGTTCTAAAGTAAACTATATAATCAAAGTCAAACAGTCAGTCATATATAGATTTCCAAAAATCTAACCCACCCCACTTAACAGTACTCTATATATACACCTACTGTTGTATTAATAAAACATCTGAAACATAACAATACTTTATAAGGATATCTCTTACTAGCTTAACTTTTAAATCATTGAAGTTTTTAAAAACAACATTGTTTTGGCTCCAATCACTAAGAGTCTTGTGTAAGCCAGAACGTGGACTAGAGTGGTTGAATTCAACCCATCAAGATTCTGTTTACTGGTCCTGCATTTTAACATTTATATCACCCAGGCTATAACTCCTGTCATCCTTATCCATCATGTCAGCTAGCCACAGTGGGTGCTGGCAATGGGGATTCTTATCCAATTTACGTAGTTTAGAAAGCTGGCCTTTATCAAAAGCTGAGTGATGTTATCCAGAGAAGGTATTTACCGTCATCAGCCCTGTTTTGTGGGATTCTATTAAATGCTACTTTTAAAACTTGTTATCAAAAGATAATATTTAACAATCACTAGAATCTGCCAGTCTTCCTGCTTTAGTCTTAATACTGAAAATGGAAAAATGCAGAACACACAGATAAAAGACCAGACAAGGTATGGAAAGACTCAATATGAGAAAAGCGATCAGATGGAACCCCAAGATCAGCAACTCCAACCAACAGCTGCAACATCCCCATTCCTGCTCAAAATTTTGAAACATCCATCTCAGGGGTGAAATGCTCTGAAGTCTGCTACCGATTCGCTTTGCTACCAGTTTGCTTCACACGCATATGCGCAGTGCATGCCAAACATGCACTTCGCGCGCAGGCGCATCGCAGGTGCTACCGTGCAGCACTGAAAAAGGAGGATTAAGAAGCCTTTTCCGAGTCTGCAAAGGTAAGTAGAACAGCAAGAGAGGGGGAACAGCTGTGACACACAATTTAGATTCGCTAGAAAGCAGGATTTCTAGCAAATATAAATCACGCGGCACAGCTGATCGTCAGAAATACCGGTTCACCCAAATCGGTAGCATTTTTTACTACCAGTTCAGGCGAACTGGACCAAACTGGTAGCATTTCACCCCAATCCATCTCCTTACATTGGTCTGCTGCTGGATAGTTTAGGTAAAAGGAGTCCCTGTGGAGTTTACTCCACTAGTTGTTGCCGACTATAGTGGGAGATGCTCATCTCCATTTCAAGGCCATGCTCTGTCTGAAGACATTTCCATGGTCATGTGGCCAGAATGACATCTTCTTCTTCTGCCATATCCGTCATCAGACATTGGTGATCATGGTGATCCTATTTCCATCAACAGCAGCACGAAAAAGTGCTGTTGAGTTTTGTCCAAACCAGTCCCTTAGTTTTTGAAGCCATGATGTTCTTCTTCTCCCTGGACCTCGTTTGCCTTCAATCTTTCCCTGGAGGATTAAGTATGCCAAATTTTTCTGGGTGTCGCATCACATGTCCAAAATATTCTAACTTGCTTTTTTATGGTTTTGATTATTTCCCTTGGCTTTGATTTTGTCAACCCAATTCACTCGTAACAGCCCCCCTGTAAACCCACATGACATCATAGAGCACTATTACCTTCCCATCAAAGTGGTGCCTATTTATCTACTCGCATTTGCATGCTTTCGAATTGCTAGATTGGCAGGAGCTGGGGTGAGGACAGGAGCTCATACCATTGTGTGATGCTCAAACCTCAAACTTGGTCTGCCAGCTTTCCAGTTGACAAGCCCAGTGTCTTACTGCTGAGCTATCATGCTGCCCCATAAACTGGACAGCTTATGCCACTAAAAAATTCAGAAAAACCTTTTCTTATAACCTAAACCCTAGTGGTATCCATTCTGAACCAATCTTTCCTGAACTGATATTCTTCAGCTGTGTCATACTACTATTTTAACATTGTGTATCAGATTTATATTTCCCATTTCATTCAGGAGCTCAAGATGGTATATAAAATTTTCCTATACAGTAATGCTGTGTGATAAGCTGGGCTGCAAAAGAGTGAATGATCCCAAATCACTCATTGAACCTCTGGGACTGAGAGTGGACTAGACTTGAGTTTTCTCATTCCTGGACCAACATCTCAACTACAAGATCAAGAGCTGTGCTTCCTTAGGATACTTTGAATAGAGCTGGAAGGCACCTTGGAGGTCTTCTAGTCCAACCCCTTGCTCAAGCAGGAGACCCTATACCATTTCAGGTAAGTGGCTGTCCAGTCTCTTCTTTAAAACCTCCAGTTGGAGCACCTACAACTTCTGAAGGCAAACTGTTCCACGGGTTAATAGTTCTCACTTATGGAAGTTTCTCCTTGATTCCAGATTGGTTCTCTCCTTGATTAGTTTCCATCCATTGTTTCTTGTCCTGCCCTCTGGTGTTTTGGAAAATAAAATCTGTGGCAGCCCCTCAAATACTGGAATATTGCCATCATGTCCCCCTTCTTTTCTCTAGACTAGCCATACCCAATTCCTGCAACCTTCATATGTTTTAGTCTCCAGGCCTTTAATTGTTTTAGTTGCTCTTCTCTACACTTTTTCCAAAGTCTCGACATATTTTTTGTAGTGTGGTGATCAAAACTGGATGCAATATTTCAGATGTGGTCTCACTAAGGTAGTAAGATAGTAAGGTAGTAAGATAGTAGGTGTTCTCAGATTGTATTGTAGATTTCAATTAATTCTTGATACTATAGCTAAATATAGCAATAGCACTTAGACTTATATACTTTATATACTACTTCATAGTGTTTAACAGCCCTCTGTAAGCGGTTTTACAGAGTCAGTATATTGCCCCCAACAATCTGGGTCCTAATTTTACCGACCTCAGAAGGATGGAAGGCTGAGTCAACTTTGAGCCTGGTGAGATTTGAATTGGCAAATTGCAGGCAGCCAGCAGTCAGCCGAAGTAGCCTGCAGTACTGCACTCTAACCACTGCGCCACCGTAGCTCATATATACCTAACTCTTTCCTCCTTTCTTCGTCTCTTGGCTTATCACCCTTATGTAGAGCCCAAAATGTAATTTTTATGTAAATATAAATATAAATAATATAAGTGTGTGTGTGTGTGTGTGTGTGTGTGTGTGTATTTCATACATTTTATTTTTTGTAAAATAAAACAATTTATTATGGCATCCAATGATTTCTCAGCATTCTTCATAAATAATGTTGCTCAGAACTGCACCCAGTGCCCTGAAAACAATAGGACCGGGTGACACAATTTCCAACATCAAAAGATCCTTCTTACCTGGTAATGACTTGGACCACTTGACTACACAGAGGAGCTGCCTCTCACACAGGTGATTGAGGCTGGTCAACAAAGCACTTGGAGTTTCTGGTTTTGTGTTATCATAACCTGCGTAGACGACTTCGGGCTCAATGCTTTGTAAGACAGTGATCAGTGGAGGGATAAATTGAATGTCTTGACTTGGTGAAAAAGAAAGCCTCTGCACCAATGTCTGGCTTTCATTTGGAAGGGCTGCTGGCTGTTGGAGTGCGACAACATCTAAGGCTCTTAGCATTTTGACCTTATTGAACTTCTTAAACTTTCGACCTGCAAGCCAAGGATACAGGGATGTTAGAAGAAACATAAGCACAAAGCAAATAAAATGTCGCGATCTATAGACTATGCCACTTAGTTCAATAAGCAAGGTATTTACATCATCACAATGCACTTTAAATGTGGACCAAATTGCCCTAAATTCTGGATTAATCATAAACCAAGCCAGGATATCTCCTGGGTTTATCTCATTAATAGCTTGCCCCTTGTCTCAACCTATCTGTGAAACCACAGCCATCTCCTTCTCTCTGTTTGAAACTTACCTGGTGCAAATAGCTATGATGAGAAACGGATGGTGCTATGATCTTCATGAGACTCTGCAGGAACAGCTTTGTGGATAAACTTGACTAATAATGGTTGCTTATCTCTTGAGCATTTAATATTCTATTATTGTCAATGGAACTAGGAAGGTTGAAGAGGCTACAGCTATCATTGGCCATTCCCAAGGACCTTTTTTTTTAATGTATTTATTTATTTTTTTGATGCTATCGGGAGTTCCCCAACCTGGATATTGCTGAGATTTTTGGAAATTAAAGACCAAATACCTGGCAAGCTTCCCCAATTGCAGTAGCTAATCTAGACACATTCTGTTCACAGACTGAAAATAATAGAACAGCAACCAATAATCTTGGTTCAGAACACAAGGCCAACAGCCATAGTCAACATGAGTAACCTTGTCAGATGATAGAATCTAAAGTTCAGCAACATTTGAGGACCAAAGAAAGTTTGTGCACTCCCATCACACATGTAGTAAAGCCTATAATTTTCTTTTCTGGAAACAAAATTACATACAGGTTCCCGAACACAGTAACAAATTTATGTTTGGAACAGGTCTCACAACTCTGAAGCAATGAAGGAGGAGGGAACGAAGGAAGATGTTTTAGGGAATGGATGAGTTTGCTCACTGGCATGAGAAAGCAATTAGGGAAAAATATTAAAATATTAAGCAGTTAGAATAGAAGATCCCATAGGCAGTATCAAAATTTCCATTGAATAGGGAACATAATGAGCACTAGTTAAACTGTTGGGTGCAAAATAACTGTTGGCTTGTACTTTAAGTTTACTTTGGTGGTCACTTATATACTTCATCTGTGATGTTGGTTGTGCTTTTTAATGACCGTTAGCCACCCAGAGTCACCATGGTGAGATTGGTGGCCATAGGAAATGAATTCAATGAAATGGAATGGAACAGAATTGAACAAATAACCAGATAGTTGTGATGAGACTTAGTTTAGATGGCTGGTTGGTCTCCACGCTTCTTGGTTAGCAACAATGTACAGTTAATCTAGGACTCTGAATCTTTAAAGACTGCTATCTTAACAAATCTTCCAAAGAATAAACTCCAAAGCAAAGAGTGGCATCTATTTCAGGGGAAATTGTGCTGGACTAGTCTAAAGTAAAAAAAAAACAAAAAAACTCCACAATGATGTTAGAGTCAAGTGGCACATGAAATAATGTGGGGGAAAAAATGGAATAACGATGTATGGATATGTACCCATAAATATCTTTAACCTTATCAGAAGGAAGGGATACAAATCAGCTAACCAGATACCCTTTGGCCTTTCATTCTGTCACCAAAGAGACATCTTGATTTTTGGCTAGCTGTCGGCCTTTCGAAAGAGACCAGATTAGGAAACCAACATTATGAATACTCATAGCTTTATTATTACTGAAATAATACTCCCAGAATTCTGGGAGTTGAAGTCCTCCAGGCTTAAAGTTGCCACGATTGGAGACTCCTGCTTTAAGGTGTGCATTAATGTTCCAGTGGGTTCTGCTGGAGAAAAAATGCCGCCCCCCCCCCCCCCCCAAGCTAATTTTATTATTGGATGGAAAAAGCTGATGAGAGCTCTCTGCAGCTAAGCTGGAAGAAATATGGCAAATTCAGCCGCCATTTTTGATGGCTCTAGGTAGAAAAATTGCAGGGGCAGAAGTCAAACTAACACCCACAACAAGTCTGGTTAAAAAGAAATATTAGTCTTTTAACACATTTTAGAGTTTCTCTCTCAAACTTTCTTCTGATGCAAGGTAGAAATATCCTCTGACATGAGTGGGAAGATACATAGAACAGAATAACCGATTTGGAAGGGACCTTGGAGGTCTTCTAGTCCAACCCCCTGCTCAGGCAGGAGACTATTTCAGACAAATGGCTGTCCAATCTCTTCTTTAAAAACTCTGGTGATGGAACACCCACAAATTCTGGAGGCAAGCCATTGCATTGGTTAATTGTTCTCACTTTCAGAAAATTCTGAATTTGGGATATGTTGGTTTCTTTAACAGTGATGGGGGAGGGAAAAAGGGAGGAAAGAGATTTATAACAGTCGTCCAAAAGAATTCATTCTGGATTTATCCCCTCTCTCCTTCAGCCCTCCACCCATTTCCATCAAGAAGAAAGGGAAGTGAAAATAAACGGCATCAGGCAATTCATCCTAAGCAAACTTGCACTACTAAATGTGCATAATCTTTCCAGCAGGTGAAAAAAAAATGTTTAGCAATTTGTTATTTCCTGACAGAAGACCATGATTCTGCCTGCAAGGTCACTCTGCCCCTGTAGTTTTCTAAAGCAGAGTGCTTTGTGTTCATTCCAGAAGGAGTGTACCCAGGCTGAGAGAACAAAGCAGAGTGATATATTAAGATTTCAATGTAGAATCTGAAGTAACATCTTGTTAAAAATCTGACTTGGGAAACTAAGTCAGCTCTCAACTAGAGATTCCTCTTATAATTGCATTTTTCCAGCAGACATATTTATCTACTTAAAGGATAGAATAGAATTTTTTATTGGCCAAGTGTGATTGGACACACAAGGAATTTGTCTTGGTGCATATGCTCTCAGTGTACATAAAAGAAAAGATACGTTCATCAAGAATCATAAGGTACAACACTTAATGATAGTCATAGGGTACAAATAAGCAATCAGGAAACAATATCAATATAAATCGTAAGGATACCAGCAACAACACTAGATACATTTGTCAAGAATTATAATGATAGCCATAGGGAACAAATAAGCAATCAAATCATATTAGGAAACAGTAAATATAAATCGTAAAGATACCAGCAACAAAGTTACAGTCATACAGTCATAAGTGGGAGGATATGGGTGATAGGAACGATGAGAAGATTAATAGTAATAGTAATGCAGACTTAGTGAATAGTTTGACAGCGTTGAGGGAATTATTTGTTTAGCAGAGTGATGGCGTGCGGGGAAAAACTGTTCTTGTAACTAGTTGTTCTGGTGTGCAGTGCTCTATAGCATCGTTTTGAGGGTAGGAGTTGAAACAGTTTATGTCCAGGATGTGAGGGATCTGTAAATATGTTCACAGCCCTCTTTCAGACTTGTGCAATATACAGGTCCTCAATGGAAGGCAGGTTGATAGCAATGCTTTAGATGGATATTTATTTTTTTTGCTCATCAGTGTGATGTCCCAATCTCCAGTTGGAAAACTACCTTATACAGCAGGGGTGGGAAACAATGGCCTTTTTATGACTTGTGGACTTCAACTCCCAGAATTCCTGAGCCACGGCTCAGGAATTCTGGGAGTTGAAGTCCACAAGTCATTAAAAGGGCCATAGTTCCCCACCTCTGTTCTATAGGGAGCCCTTGAGCAGTGGTGAAATCTAAAATTTGTTACTACCAGTTCTGTGGGCGTGGCTTGGTGGTGGTGGGTAATGTGACTGGGTGGGCGTGGCCAATTTTTTTTTTTACTTTTAAAACCATTTTTTCTACAACCTCTTTGGCGAAGGGTTTTTTTCTTTTAAATGCCTCTGACGATCCAAGCTGAGTTTTTTAAAAAGCCTCTGACGATCCGGCAACTCAGCTGTGATCGTCAGAGGCATTTAAAAGAAAAAAAGGGGTTTTTTTCTTTTAAAAGCCTTTGACGATCCCAGCTGAGCCGCGCGATCATCAGAGGCTTTATTTTTTACTTTTAAAAGCATTTTTTCGGCAGAAGAGGTTGTAGAAAAAATGCTTTTAAAAGTTTTTAAAAAGCCTCTGATGATTGTGCAGCTCAGCTGGGCATGGGGGGGGGCAGGGATTTTTGCTACCGGTTCTCCGAACCACTCACCTCCATCGCTACCGGATCGGGTGATCCGGTCCGAACCGGGAGCATTTCACCCCTGCCCTTGAATCAGACTTTCACTCATCATCCCCATGGTCACGTGATCAACATTTGGATGCTCGGCAACCAGCATATATATACAATGGTTGCAGGGCCCTGGGATCATGCAACATTTGCAACTTTTCCTAGCTGCCTTTCGACAAGCAATGGATGAGGGCAGTGGTGGGATTCAGCTGGTTCTCTCTGGATCACACAAACCGGTAGCGGCGATTGTGGGAGGCTCCGCTCACCTGCCCGGACGTAATGCACCACTACTGCACATGCGCAGAAGGTTGTGCGCGTGCGTTTTAGCAAACCGGTAGGGAAGGTAAGTGAATCCCACCTCTGGATGAGGGGGGGGGAGCCAAATTTGCTTGATTCACTTAACAACTGCAGTACCTGCATTGCTTAACAACTGCCCTACTTAGCAACAGAAATTCTAGTTCCCAATTATGGCCATAAATTTAGGTCAGTACTGAACTGGACACCTATCACATGAACAGCATGTCTTCAACTGCTGTTATTCAACCCCAAGCTAAGGAAGGGAGGAAAAAAATGGGTGCAAAAATAGACTTACAATTTGGGGATCACAATTACAGTACCTACTGATAACTACAACCATCATGGAAAACTACACAATCGGCTGGTTACATTATTCATTGATGTAAGCAATTCTGGAATGCTGTGGAGGCAGAGATCAAAAGGAGCAGAAAACAAGTAAGAGGTTATTGGGTATGGCAAGCTAATCTTGCACCATTATTCTCGGCTCTCAAGAAGTCCTATCTCCAACCTTGGAGAGTTCCAATCATCTAACAGAATAACACAGTTGGAAGGGACCTTGGAGATCTTCCTGCTCAGGCAGGAAACCCTATACCATTTCCGACAAATGGTTGTTCA